CATTTAGGCTAGTGTGTCTTCCCCAGTTATATTAAAAATAATTGACAGAATTTCTGCCTCATAATAGGAGAGATGTTTGTAAAGACTCATATATAAAGTAATGCTTTTCTATGAGAGACAATTTGGAGGAGGAACTAAGATTTAGGCTTAGGTGGTTTATCAGACTGGCTATTCCATGGTAAAACCCTGAAGTGCATTACTGCTAAGAGTAAGGAAAAAAGAGTAAAGCTGATGGGTATCATCTAGGAGTAGGCTACACATTTCTTTTCTTCTCCATGTTTTTATACAGATTGAAATTGTTATTAAATAGTAGTTAAAGGCTAACAATGAAACTAGTTTATCATTTGAGAAGACTTCTGGGGCCAAAGAAAGCAAATGTATCATTAGTTAAGACAAAATTACAAGAATATGAAACAGAAATTAAACAACTTGAGTGATCTGCGTACCCATTTAAGAAGGTACAGGTAACTTTTAATTTCACATTAGGCCTCAAAAAAATAATCTTAAAAGGGACTCTTTACCAGGAAGAGGAATTTGTATGGCAAGAAACAGCTTTGGAAGCATTGATACAACTTACAAACAGGTAAATTTCCTAAGACAGAATCCCGCGTTACATTAGTTCGCATACTAATAGCTGTTATATGTAAAGAGCTGTATGTAAAGAAGAAGCCAACTGGGAGAAATTTCTATCTCATCCTGCGAAGAAAAACTAAGGAAACACGGACGTGGCGATGCATTAAAATATTTATCATTTGACATCACAGGCCTATTAAGGGTAATGTGGAGTAATTTCTAAAATCGATTTGCTTTGTAACTTCAAAATAAAGCAAGCCCATAACTCAGTGACAGCAGCTGGTAGAGGTCAACCCTTCTATTCAAGGCAAAGATCCTACGGTGAGTCTCCCAGACCTGGTCCGTCAGTAAGGGACAAAAGATTCCGTTTCTGGAGATGGCAGGGGGAAAATGACTTGGCACTGCATCACACTTCAAATCCAATAGGGTTTCTCCCATGCCCACAGAGCACCGTGCGTCAAAGCATACCCTGGTGTCGTAAGGACAGTGAAATGGATGTAAAAACCCTGTCTTTCATTTCCTGAACGCCTTATCAACACGCACAATAACACTCCTGATCCCCATCACAGGTCACGGGGGAAACCCCCAGATTTGCCGTTGCCACCCCCTCCCCTCGGAGAGGTGCTTGCCCCTCAGCACTGGGCCTTGGAGTTTTCTCTTCCCAGATCATTGTGGGGGGGGGGGGTGGGGGGGGTGGAATTCACTGAGCGAGGAAAGCAACGTGGGCTAGGAAGTCTGTTACCAAAACAGAAATCGGGATTAAAAATACCGATCCCATCGTCCCTCCACCTTCTCCTCCCAGAGCACAAAAACAAAACCAAACACCCCCCGCCAACTTGCCCCACCATTACGAAGGCAGCCCAAGCTCTGATCAAAGGTGCCTCCCAACCATCCTCCGGGCGAGAGAGCACCTGGGGCGAGTTTTCGGCGCTCCCCCGCCCCCCCGCCCGCCCCTCGTCTCTCACCCCAGCCGGGGCCAGGCCCCTGGACTGACAGGAGGGGCCGGCCGGACGCTGGCATTATCGCCGAACCGCGCTCACACGGGTGGAAGCAACGCAGGACCTGAGGTAACACGACTCGGGCTGCGGGCAAGGCCTCCGAGCCGACGAGAAGACAGGCAGGACCCGGCAGCAGGGGAGGCGGGAGAAGCAAGCAGCCGGGCCTAGGCCGCACCAGGCCGCGGAGTGGCCAAACGCGGCTTCCCGGCCGAGGCTGCGAGCCAAGCCTCAGCGCTGCGGGGTTATCATTACCTGGACGGGTTCCTGCAGCACCGTCATCCTTGAGGCTCAGGCCCACTTTCTGCAGTGCCTCAGGCCCCCCCCGTAGCGGCTCCGGCCCGGCCAGCCCCGGCTCATTTAAACTCACCAGCGACCGTTACCGGGGGATGGGGGAGGCCGAGCGATTACCGAGTACCTCCGAGCGGTACACGGAAATACCCGAAGTGGAGAGATCCGCGCGGGAGCCAGACGGAAAAGCCCGAAGGAGGCCGGAAACGCCCGAGGCCGATCGGCGAAGGAGGAGACCGTTGCCGAAAAGTGTCGAGGATTCCCGGAGACTACCGAGTCCGATCCAGAACGTAGTTTTCTCCTTTCGGCCACGCCTTCACTCACGCACGCCACGCCCAATCGGCCACCCTAGGCTGGGCCACGCCCAATCGGCGGCCGGCCGGCTGGGCCACGCCCAATCGGCGGCCGGCCGGCTGGGCGTGGTTTGCCGAAGCGGGCGGGGAGCGTTACGTGGCCGGACTACCGTCTCCACTCGCTGCTCAATCTCTGCGGATCAGTTGATGCGCGGTAGATTAAGCAGAGGGTAAAACACGAGAGTTTGGGGCTGACTTTAATCAAGAAGTATTTGTCTGTTGAGTTTAGTTCATTCATCATTCCAGAAGTACCTATCATGGCTCAAAGGGAAATAGGAAATTTGGAAGGACTGCCACCCTTCAAAGATTTAGTATGGACCGGAGCTGTCCACACTGAAGAGTTTACGGTCTCTTTAAAGGAAAAACAATGTAACAGAGTGCTACGTTATGTGGTGCCTACTATAAGTGAGGTCAAAATTAAGAGGAGAGGGAAATAAATTGGGATTAAGATGAGGAAAGTTTCATGGAAGGAAAAAGGGAGACTTAAACTGGACTCTGAATGATGGGTAGAATTAGAGGACTGGCAGGTGAAGGGAAGCAGAAATGAGATCAGTCTGGTAAGAGTTAAGGCATTAACTGGAAATAATTACTTAGGTGACCAGATCATGGAAAATCTCAGAAGGCTGGCAGAGATTTTTATTCCTGATAGGAAAGGCATTGTGGTGTGTTGGGAAATCCGAAGGCTTGATTTTGAATTTTACCTCTGGCACTAACTAGTTTTAGGTCCTTAGGCAGATCACATCTCTGAACTTCTATTTCCTTAGTCTGAAAAAGATGACTAAAGGAATTAAATGAATTGATGTGTCTAATAGGTTCTCTCAAATTTCCTTCCTATTCCCTCTCCCCCCAAAATGTGTGAACCAGTGAACTATTAAAATTTTGTTTTTTGGTAGATGATGAAAACAGTTTTTGAAAGTTGATTGTCTAATCTAAGGCCTAGGTCTGTAAGTCAACCCCCATCCCTTCTCAGTGATTAAAGAAAGACACAGGGCGCGCCTGGATTCAAGGGTAGGAGAAATAGACTCCACCTCTAGATGGGAGGAGTAGCAAAGTGACACTGCAAAAGGCTTGTGCCCTGGAGGGATTGATTGCTGGACCATCTTTGGAAACAATCGACCAGATATGAGATGAGAATCTAGTAGTGGTAATGGAAAGAAAGAGGCAGGTAAGAGATATCACCCTTAAAATTTGATGCTTTGAACTGAACGCAACACTCCATGTTTATTCTAATTAATGCAGAGAATGATCAGACTACTGCTTTTATTATCTGGATGACTTTTTTTTTTTTTTTTTAAGATTTATTTATTTATTTGAGAGAGCGAGAATGAGAGAGAGTACATGAGAGGGGGGAGGGTCAGAGGGAGAAGCAGACTCCCCGCCGAGCAGGGAGCCCGACACGGGACTCGATCCCGGGACTCCAGGATCATGACCTGAGCTGAAGGCAGTTGCTTAACCAACTGAGCCACCCAGGCGCCCCTTGGATGACTTCTATTAGACTAAAGTTGTATTTGCATTTTAAACTGTCACATGACATTGTTCATGCTAAGCTTGTGGTCATTTTACACACACAACTCTTTTTTTTTTTTTTACACACAGCTGTTTTTCACTCAACATGCTGCCAACCCAAGTCTTGTACTTGTGCAATAGATTCTTGTAAACTTGAATGTAGGAACTTACAACACAGCATATAATGATGATATTTTGTGTGTGTGAAAATGTGTATCTAGAGTCAGCGTTTAAAGAGACCATGATGCTTGGCGTTCTGGCTCTGAAGCTTAGAATTTGCTTAACGCACACCCTCCACCCACCTCCACCCCCCCGCCCCAAAACGCATCTCTTTTCTAACTGTTCTTCACTGGGCTAATACATCTGTTGTGATTTTTCTGCTCATCCATAGCAAGGCCACATTGTTTGAAGTTAGGCTTTGGTGGGATCTTTTAAAGCATTTTTACTTCCTTCTGTGTTCCTGATTGACCTACTTAAACTTGCCATCCAGCAACCACTGGGGCATCCTGTTGTCATCCATTATCCACATATGTTTAGCTGGTGAGCAGATCTGGGTTGCAATAAGCATTATTCCAAACATGGTAAATTATCTCTTCTCTTTAGCCTGCCTCTTGGTTTGTTTCATGTTCAATCAGATTCGGAGTTTGGCTTTTAGCGAACTATTCAAGAAGCTAGACTTGGTATCATTGCCAAGATGCAGGTCCCACTAAAACATAGCCCCCAGCAAGCTTACTCTTCCGAATTCCTTCAGCCCCCCTTATCTGTACCCTTCATTTGTCCCTGTTGAAGCTGCTGTCTTATCCTTCTTCTGTTACCTGACCTTGAGGCTTTTACCCCTGTGTTTCCTCCTCCTTCTTGGCCAAATCATCCCCCTTCCTTTGGCATCTCTGATCACACAGTCTCCTGGTTTTCCTCCTACTGATCTGTTCTCATCAGTTTCTTTTGCCCCCCACTTCCCCATATTAGAATGCTTCAGGGGCCATTCTAGGCCTTCTCCTCACCCTATGCTTCCTTCCTTTGCAAACCCATCCATTCTCTTGGCCTCCACTTTCATCTAAAATTGTTCCAGGGGCACCTGGGTGGCTCAGTCGATTAAGCCTCTTGATTTCGGCTCAGGTCATGATCCCAGGGTTGTGAGATTGAGCCCCAAGTCAGGCTCCGAACTGGCCTTGAAGCCTGCTTAAGATTCTCTCTCTCCTTCGCCCTCTGCCCCTCCCCCACCTCCCTCTCTCAAGGAAAAAAAAAAAAAAGTAAAATTGTTCCAAAATCTCTATCTCTAGCCAGACTGCTTCCTAGAACTTCAGACCCAAATGCCAGCTGTCAAGTGGACATCTCACAGGGTGCTTGTTCAGAACATCCCCGGTCCTCGTACTTGAAGTATTTCCTACCCCAACTTAAGGTACTGCCACCCTCTCCATTGCCCAAACCTGGAACCGCTCTCTCTCTCTTTGACCCTAGCATCCAGTGACAAAAGCCCTACTAATTTTACCCTGGGTGTACCTTCATGTCTCTTCCTGTCTCTAGCTTTACCTATCCTCAGAACCAAGTCTGATCATGTCAGGACTCCCTCCTAAACCTTCCCACCCAACTCGAGATTTCCCATTGCGCTCAGGACATTGCTCAAACCTGTTCACTTCTCTCTTTCTCCCTCTCTCTCTCTTTTTTATTTGAGAGAGAGCATGAGTAAGCACACAAGTGGGGAGGGGCAGTGGGAGAAGGAGACAAAGGGTCTTAAGCAGGCTACATGCCCAGTGTGGAGCCCCACCAGCACCAGGCTTAATTACCCCCGACCCTGAGAGCATGACCAGAGCCAAAATCAAGAGTCAGACACTTAACCAACTGAGCCACCCAGGCGCCCCTAACTTCTCTTATAAGGCCCTCCAAGGTCTTGTCTCTGCCTCCTTATTCAGTCTTGTCTCATCTCCCTGTTACACTCTACATTCCCACGAAGGGGACTAGAATATGTCACTTTGCCATAAGGATTATTTTGACCTGAAAGCAATTAGGAAGCAGCAAACACAGAAAGAGCTCTTTGCTTTCTCGCTATCTGCCTAAAAGCAGGACATATATTTCCCTTTGTGAAGGTGCTTCCTCTCCCCTCTCCTGTACCAGGAAGAGGAAAACAACCATTATCACTAGAGACAAAGAGTTGGCACTGATTTGGGTCTGTACAAGCAAACCTTACTGAAATAACCCTTATCTTCCATTAGTTTCCCCATATATTTACCTTTCCACAACTTACCACCCCAGAGGCCCAAACCTTTTCCGCTCTATTTTGTCCCTTCTCCACAAATTTATTGCTGTTTGCTAAGATGGTATACATGCCCCACGTCCTAACCACCTCTTGTTTTTAAAATTTTGTTAATTTGTCTTTTGTCAGTTTAGTTTGCAGGGCCTGTGCTACAAACCTGAGAGAGTAGAGAGAAGGTCACATGAGACATATAGGAAGAAAGTGGTCATCTACAAGCCAGGAAGAAAGCTCTCACCAGAAACCAAAGTTGCTAGCACCTTGATCATGGACTTCTAGCCTCCAGAACTGTGAGAAAACACATTTCTGTTGTTTAATCCACCCAGGCTGCAGTATTTTGTTCTAGCATCCTGAGCAGACCAATATAATCAGGATGATTTATGTCTGATCTTCCTAAGGGAAGGCTCTCTTATATTTCTCCATATAGTTCTTTGAAAAGCATTACGTATCTAGTATATGCTTAAAAAATATTGACTGAATAAAGTGGAAGCCTTTACACTTACTACTTCTTCTTCCTGAAATACTTTGCCCTTACTCTTTAGCTAAATTCAACCCATCCTTCAGGCCTCAGCCTTGATATTATGTCCTCAGAATATTCCCTGTCCACCTAACCAAAATTATTAGCTCCACCCTGATTCTCTCTTACAGAATCTTTGTTCTTTTTCTTCATAGTATGTAAGGTCATTTTAATTATATTTGTTTAATATAAATTCCATGAAGGCAGGGACTTTGGCTCACCTTGATGTCCCCATTATCTAGTTGAGTGCCCTGCACAAATATAAAGTTATTAAAATATCATAAGTGTATCTGATGATTAAAAGACATGACCACTCAGTGTTATCTCTTATTGGTCATAACTTGATGCTCTTTGACCCTCCCTTTCTGGGCCCAGAGAACATGCTGGTTTTGTGCATCAGTCCCTAAGGGATTTCAAGTCAAAGCAGTCTGAAGTGTTGAGGCTAATCAGAAATGCATCCTGGTTGAGGTGCACTCTGAGATGGGCTACATGGCCTATGGCAGGGAGAGGTAGGCAGACTTCAAAAGCACAGGGAAGAAGATAAACTGTAAGCAAATTAGCTTGCCTGGAGTGAAGGCCGCATAAGCTTGGTTGAAATGGTAGTTTAGGGGACAGTTGATAAGCTTTGGGTTCCAAACTGATGACTTTAGGTTGATAAAATAGACCTGGGGAGCTGCTGGTGGTGATTGAGCTGGGGAGTGACTTCATGAGAATGGAATTTGAGAAAGATTATGCTAACAGCTGAGGATTATGTGAATTGGAGGAGAGCAAGAGTAGGGGCCAGGAGTGCAGCAAAAGAGGCTGCTAGGGAGTTGAGGCAACTCTTAAATTTCCATTATTCTTGGATCCTAACTAGCTGTGATATGGGATTGTTGAGCCCAGTGGGCAAGAAAGAATTCTTGAGACGATTTACGGTGCAAAGGTGTTTTTATTATAGCACAAGGACGGGACCCATGGGCAGAACCAGCTGCGTTGTGATTGTGAGGAGTGACTGATCATATAGGGTTTTCTATCCTATGGAGGTGAAGGTGATGCTAGGGCTCCAGAAAATTGAGTCTATAGGTTCCTGGAGGTCTGACTATTATTAAGATTGTATTTTTCTTATAAATCATGAAGACAGTTACAAACTATAATGAAGTTTCGTGTTCTACACGACTGTGATCTTTATCAGTTGACCATTTATTTTTCCCCTGCCTTTGTTCTTAGGCAGTTCCTAGTGCCTGAGGAATGTTATATGTATATCCCACCTTATGGGGCCTTCCTGGGGGGGGGGATTTTGGGGTGTCAGCTCGTGTTTTGCCCTCAGCTTGCTCTCTCATCAGCTGAATCTGAAAAAAGACGCAAAATGAAAATAGTTCCAAGTTACTCATTTACAGTGAAAAATATTCTTCTCCAATTCCTTCTCTTTCGGACATTCAGATTCCAACTAGAAGGCTGCTTACTGAGTGCAGACTGACCAAAAGAGTGAATCGAATGATCTGGCTGGCTATTACCTCCTTTTCCTCAGAATGGACATATATGCCTGACTGCTAGATTAAAAATATTTCTATTATCTGGAGACGATGTTCACTGAATAGTAGATTCTCTGTTTCTCTCCCTTTTAGGTTCTAGGCAAACTTTCATTTTTCTCTGAATAAATTGCATGGCAATGAATTAAACACAGACTTGATGTTCCAGTCTTGAGTCTACACTGTAGTTGTCTCCAATAGAGCCTGTTGTTGCTATTAGTTTGTTTTGTGTGTCATAAATGTATCATTTGGGAGGTAGGTGATGAGCTAGGTTCAAAATATACTGAGTTTGAAGTGCCTCAGGTGAGAAATGTCCAAATGTTAATTGAAAATGTGAAGCTTGAACAATTTAGGAAAAAAGTTGGAGCTGGAGATATTTTCCAGGGGCGCCTGGGTGGCTCAGTTGGTTAAGTGTCTGCCTTCAGCTCAGGTTATGATCTCAGGGTCCTGGGATTGAGCCCTGTGTCCTGGGATTGAGCGAGCCCTGAGTCAGGCTCCCTGCTCAGCAGGAGGTCTGCTTCACCCTCTGTCCCTCCCCCTTGCTCGTGCTCTTGCTCTCAAATAAATAAATAAATAAAATCTTTAAAAAAAAAATAGAGATTTTCCAGGTAGAACTAAATGCATTCTATTTTGGTTATGTAATACCTTATAAAACCTTTGTGAGAGTATTTATCATTACATTAAAGCTATTTATTTATCTGCATCCTCCACACCAGACAGGAAGCTTCTTGGGGGCAGGGATGGCCTCTTACTCATTTTCATAAAAGCATGTGCATACTATAGGTGTAATAAGTGTTAGTTGAATGGATGAATGGATGAATGGATGAATGAGAGTAATCGGGTTAAAGGAGATACAGGACAGTAGGGTAAGTGACAGAACTCTGGTATGATAAGTACAGCAGAGAAGGCCCAGAGACAAGAGCACTAGGTCTAGCCACAGAGAAGTCACTGGTGGGGTGCAAGGGAGGAAGTCAGAATTTGAGAAGTAAAAGAAGAAGTTGGTGTAAAGGGAAACCAAGAAGAGTCTCATTTTTAGCACTAAAAACATGTCCCAAATGCTGAGAAAAAGTGCTTGCTAAGGTGTTGAGTCTCTTTTTCCTTACTGAGAGCCACACATGCTGTGGGTGACAGGGCCAGCTGTCATTGATGCTTTCTTGTTTTCTTGTCCTCTTGGGGGCCAGGACTCTCCATGAGGGAATCCCATTGGCTCTACCAGCTCCCACTGTCACCTTAGTGTCCTGGGTTCTAGTCTCAGACCTGCCATGACTCATAGTGTGACCTTGGGCAAGTCACCCCCTTCTGTCTGTGCCTCTAAAGTCCCTTGCAGCTGACAGGATGTCTGGGGGAATGCAGTTTGGATGACTGGTGAGGGTTCTGACTTGCTCTCCATTGCTTTTCAACTATAAATCACTTTGCCAGACACCAGCTGTCCTGCCCTCTGCTTTAGATTCTCGGGCGGGATCCAACCCACCTGTTGCTGGGGCCCGCCCAATGTCTTCCTCCCACGGTTCAGCTCACGGATCCATCACTAGGCCGCACTGCCTTGATCACAGCACAGGAATGAGCTTCAACCATTTAGACAGACTGTTGAGTGATTGGGCCAAACGTGGACCATTCTCCACTTATGCTAAACAGCTGAGGAAATGAAGGTGGATGGGATGATTTAAAGTGCTCAGAGGACCAGTGCTATCAATGGCCCTTAAAATTTTGATTTTAATTTGATTTTAGACCCTTCCACTCCTTCTCTGCCTTTACTTTTGGTGCTCTGGATTTTCAGGGTCACTAAGACTTCAGGTTTTCATTGCTTTTTTCCTTCTTCTTTGGGCATAAGGAATCTTAGCTATAGGGGATTGGGTTAATCATTCTCCTTGAGTTATATAGCCTTCTTCATCACTGATCCATACAAAGCTTTTTGTTTAATTAGTTATTTATTCCTTTTTATCTTGTTGCCCCATCCCATCCAAATAATACTCACCATAAGCAACCCTCAAATATTTTTAATGTGTATTTTTTTGTTGGTATGTGTAATGCTTCTAGTATGCATGTACTTAATAAAATTTAGTAATACATCCTATTCTCCCAGTATAGCCAAAATTTTATTTCAACATGTAAACAATATTAAAATTATTGATATATTACATTCTTTTCTTTGTAGTAAGTCTTCAAAACCCATTGTGTGTTTTTTCTTACAGCATATCTCAATTTGGATGCTAAATTTTCATCACAAATACTTAATCTGTATTTAGATTTCATAATTTCACAGTTGAAAAAGTAGATTCACATACCTGTTTTCCAAGCATACTTAAAAATTTTCCAGTAACTGAATCAAGTACCAAAAAAAATCATTTTCCTTTAATAGTTGCATCCAAATGGACAAAATTGCTTCCTCTATTTTAAAAGAATTATATCAGTATCAAAAGTATGTCCAAGTCAAGTAAATTCACTAACTGCTATGTCAACTCAGTATTATTAACATGAAATTCAAGGAGATATTGCATAAATTGAAAAGCAACTCCAAATTTGTTAATATCAACAAAACATTTAAACTTTTCTTGTCATTTTTGCAGCCAGTTTATATAATGCTGTTGATTAAAATCTGCATATTTATGTTAGAGAAATGCATATTAATTTGCATTGTGGCAGGCTTTAGTTTTAGCATAAATTCTTGTACCTACCTAGCTAAGTTGCAAATAAGCGTTTTCTTTCCTTGGAGCTTCAGGTTTAGCTCATTCGTATGCAGTATGATATCAGTGAGATTATATGCAGATATTTTAAATTTATAGAAATGTAATTGTGGTTTATATCTTATTCAGCTTCTTACTCATTGCTATATTCTTCTGGATACACATCTAATCTTTTAACTGGTCTGTACTCTCTCATGGCCCTGTCTCAGTAATGGAGACCCACATTGCTTCCCCTTTGAGCCACCACAAGTCATGCTGCAGCAAAGAACCTTCTATTCATGTCTCTTCTGAACTTGAGTGAGATTTCTTTCACATGTATACTCACCTTGATTACCCTTCTAAACCACAAAGCCCTTCTACTTCTATCCCCCCTATTTCTTAGCTCTTCTATTTCTTTGCTTTTCTTTTTTTTCTTCTGGAAGATATTCTTTCTTTTGCCTTTCAATACCCTACCATGTTTCCCAGCTGTGTCCATCGTGCTACTTTTCAAATCTATTGTGTGTTCTATTTTAATGATTAATTTTTTATACCTAACATGTTGCTTGTTTTATCAAAGTTTTTTTTTCCTATTTCTTTCTTTC